CCATCTAGCCAATAAGTGAAGCTGATGGAAGCAGAGACTAAAAGCTACTGCATGTTTCCTACTACTGAAGCTTGTATCATTAGCACAATGTGGGATGTGCCATGTTAAATGTCTTCTGCTGGAAGGAAGTGTGCCAGTGTGATGCAAACCCCCTACCCCTGCTAAAGGGTCTTGCATCCCACAAGAATCCACTTGATGGAGTAAGAACCAGTATGGGCATCATTGATTCCATACTCTGGGAAAGAAAGTAGACCAGTGTCTTTCCTCTTCCTGGTCAACCAACAGAGAAAAGAGCCCGATCATCACCCAAACCCAAATTCTAACAACAGAACCTGGAACAATAGGCTTATCAAGGACTTGACCACATGTAAAATGGCTTCTCTATCATTACTTTAATAGGTGTTTGTAAAAAGACAAAGGAAAGTAAGTCTGTGTTCATGCACAGTGCTAAGCCCTCATGTCATCTTTTCAATTTTGGCTTGGTACATTGTGTAAACCAAGCCGCTGAGATTTGTAAATCATGATACATGATATGGTGTGTTATGAAACACCAGCTAATGTGCTTTTTTAAAATAAACCATGGTTAAACAACCCAAAGTTCCGTACAATGTGTGAATCAAGAAAATGATTTATACTTCATCTGGATTAAACTTATCAGTTGTGCACAGCAAAGACATAATGTTTGCCTGATACCTGGTTCCATGGTCCTAGATAATTTAATTAAATATGTATTTTCTTTCTACATATACTACTGTATTGCTAATTGTTAATAAATTTAATAGTCAATATTTTAGAAGTTTCTACAAAAAATTAAGAATGATTGGAAAATAATCTAAAGAAGAGTAACATATGGTACATTTAATATGTCACACTAATATTTTTCGTAAAGCATTTAACAGGTCACCATTGGAGGCAGATTAGTGGAGCCCTGTTTGGATTCACCCCAAGTATTTGGAATTAACCTTGAATAGTATAAATCCACATCAACTTGCTGCAAGATATTTTCTAAGCACCTTGCTCCCAAACAATCCTTTGTGTGAGACGTTTTACTAGCTATCATATATGGATGACTTTTTATTTCTTATGATTAAGGACTGTCATTCCTGATTGATAAATTACTGCAAAAATACAAAAATACCTGTGTGTTGATTCTGATGGCACCAATGGAAGGAATTTCATAATAGTAACCTGAAATAGAAAATATAATACAGAAATTTGAGCTTTACCGAAATATGGATCTCTAGATAAAACACTAGAAATATTATGACTATGAACACGGAATCAACAGCAGAGGAAACTGCCACGTGTCTGTGAAATTCAGACTGCCTCTTAGATTCTGAAGTCGTGTCAATGGCTGATATATATTTAAAGATTATGGTTTGATATAAATTTCCCGATGACTTTTTCCTATACCTAAGAATTATCCAATTATACAGGTATGAATTTATTATTACAAGTTTTTCAATGCGACTTTGATCAACTGGATCTAAGCGATTTACAAAAGCAAAATATAGCAATATTCTATATAGCATAGTAAGATCCATACAAGAATATCAGTATAATGATCCAAAAAAAATTCGACAATAATCAGGGGCCCTCTCTCATTCTAGAGAGGATCTTCTATCAAAACTTCAAATGTGCTTCTAAAAAACCAGACCTTAACTAGCTTTTTCCAAAAAT